TTGTCCTTCAACCTTTGCAGTAGAAGAATTCCCCATGTAGAGTTGTTCTTCATTATTTATAGTTTCATAGGTAGTGAACATCCTCTTTTCAGAGCAAACATGACGAGTAGCTCCTGTGTCCACCCACCATTCTCTGTTGTTGCTTACCAGGTTGATTTCAGAAACCACAGCTGAAAGATTTAACTCTGATACATCAGCTGTCAACTTATCTTCTTCAGCTATGTGCACCTCAGTGGTCTTCTTCTTGGGGTTATGATGTGTTTTGCGGCTACAACAATCTTTAGCTCGGTGTCCTAGCTTGCCGCATATGAAACATTTCCCAGTGAACTTCTTGTAGTTTCCTTGGCTAGGACCTTCTCCAGAGTGCTTCCTCTTCTTATTTTTCTGTCCTGCTTCCACTACATTTGCCTTTGACACCATTGAAGAATTTCCGGCTCTCTTTTCAGATGCACGGTTATCTTCTTCAATTCTCAGCTTGACAATTAAGTTTTCGAGCCCCATTTCCTTGCGCTTATGCTTCAAGTAATTTTTGAAATCTTTCCAAGTAGGTAGCAGCTTTTCAATGATTGAAGCTACTTGAAAGGATTCACTCAATGTCATCTTCTCAGCATGTATCTCATGTAGGATCAGCTGGAGCTCCTGCACTTGGCTCACGACTGTCTTGGAGTCTATCATTTTGAAGTCCAGAAATCGTCCAACCACGAATTTCTTCAAGCCAGCATCCTCTATTTTATACTTTTTGTCTAACGACTCCCAAAACTCTTTAGCAGTATATATTGGACTGTACACATTATATAAGGTGTTGTCCAATCCATTGAGGATGTAGTTCTTGCATAGGAAGTCTCCATGCTTCCATGTATCAACAGCTCCAAGCTTGGTAATGTCTGTATCACCCTCATCTAACACTGGAGCAGTCTCAGTCAGATACTTGCTTAGATTCAGAGTTGTAAGGTAGAACATCATTTTCTGTTGCCACTTTTTAAACTCCGTCCCGTTGAATTTTTCGGGCTTCTCCCCATGACTGACGGGAACATTAGGCACGGTAATACTTGTACTTGCCATTTGTCTGTTATATATTGATATACAGACCACGAGTCAAATTATAATAATTATAACAACCATAATAATTAAATAATTAAAACTATAGTATAAAGATATCTGTCTTAAGATTGTTGATAAAATAATGTATCATATAGTATAGTATAATTTATTTAAATATTATTTGTAAATATAATATTTATTATAATAATCTATATATATATATTTATATAGTTTAATATCAAGAAAATAAAACTATAAAAGAACCTGATAAAGTCGAGGCTAGAATTTAATTCTATAGCCTTAAGACAGATACGCCCCGCTACGGTGCTAACGGACTCTTCGGCGTCTATCTCCCAGGATACAACGACTTTTCTTCATTTGGTAGTAGCACTTCAAACCAATGGAATAGGCAAACCGGCTCGGTGTAGTATTCTCTGTTGAACTCGGACTAGGAGATCAGGATTAAACCCTAACTCGGAGACCAAGATTGAACCCAAACTTGGAAACCAAAGTTCGAACCCAATCCAAACCAGTTTAGGTTGAACCCAAACCAGTGGCTGAATCGAACAAAGAAGAATTAGAAGAAGAAATTCAGAAGAAGAGAAGAAGATTTCTGAATTGGTGTGAATTGAAATGAACCCAATGATGGGTATTTATAGGCTTGTTGGTGCCTATTCTGAATGGGTGCACCCATAGTCCGAATGGGTGCAACCATTGTTGACCAATCAAAATTAAAAATCTGTTGGTGGTTTTTAATTTGTAAAGGGTGCAACCCTTGGTTTAAACAAAAACTGTTTTATGGTTTTTGATTTGAATTTAAACCCAAAACAGATTAAGCACAGCAAGCAAACTTCGGCAGCCCAGCCCAGCGTGCTCCACTTAAATAAAATAACCACACAGGCCCAGTCCAACTTTGTGTAAAAAGGTTAGACCCATTTTACAATTAAGCCCCGCCCCGCCCAAGCCCGGACCGGGCTGGCGGCGTGCGCGTGTGTGGTAGTTGGTTCGGATCCAGGCTAGCCTAGGTCCTCCCCCTCTTAAAAACTTGGGTGCCCTTGGGCCCAAACCCAAATCCCATACTAGACATATATATACTCAAGGTTGCTTTGCTACTTTTTCGATGTGGGACAAGCATTTCCCACTTTATTCACACACATTTAGGTTTTATAAATCACTTACTTTGGAGCCAATTTCTCATTCACCTGGAAACGGATTTGAGAAAATAAATATACCACGTTCATCTCCTCGCAGAGAGGAACGCGCTCGTCAATAGATTCATAAAAAATTCTTAGCGGAATCTTTTAAAAATCCTTCCAAAGTTTGCGTTTTCTAATGCCGTTTCCAACACTTTCTTCTCTGGCGATTGCAATTCTGTTCCGGGTTGGCCATCATTCCTTTCCTTGACGCAAAGGTTATAGTGAATTTTAGCGCCCTAAAATCAAGGGTAAATTTGGTATTACATTAGTCTATTATGCTCTGTTCTCCCCTTTCCTTCAATTTCCTGCCATTTTTAGACTCTACCAAACTGAGCCTGTGTCTCGTTTACATGATCCTAAATATTTTTCGAGTTTTTGTAAATATTTTCAGAATATTTTATACTTTTTTACTAATCATTAAGATAAATTATTTCAATTTTCGTTAAGATTTGAACAAATTATACATAGGTAAAACGTTTGACCTCTATTATTTGAAAAATTCAAAAAATGATTAATTTACTATTTTCTTATGTTAAAAAAATTCAATAAACCTATATTTTGACATTAAATTCCATTCAAAGGTAAAGTATTAATTTTCATATCAATTTCATATTATTATATTTTATAAATATATATATGTACATTTGATTAGGTTTCTTTTTATGATTTGATTATGTTTCTTTTTAAAAAATAAAAAATAATAAGAAAAAACAAGGTAGGGTAATATATTATTTACAGTAAGGGAAATAAAAGGGTAATAGAGTATTTTTGTTTGAATTTTTTTTAATTAAATTAGATAAGAATATTATTATTTTTTTTTTTTACAAAAGTAAAGTAATAAAAGTCAAACACTCTATCTGTATGTAATTTATCCAAACCTAAAGATAGGTTGGTATAATCTATCCTAAAAACCTAAGTCACATAAAGAGGAGTGAGGGTGGGAGCAGGAGCGAATTCGAAAGTAGGAGTTAGGGGTGGAGTCAGAATTTTATTTCAGGGGGGCACAATGCACTTATTAAATAAAAAAAAATCAATAAGTATGACAAATATAATTTTTTTAAATCAAAAGGTAAAAGAAAAAAAAAAAAAAGTACAATAATATGGTAAATAAGTATTGTAAAAAAAATATACTTGACAAATATAAGGATCAAAATATTGATTAATAATATTTTAATTAAATACAATCACAAATGTCATCGATAAAAAGAAAGAAGAGGGAAAAATGGTACCATACATAATTATACATTAGTGAAAAAAGAAATTTTTTGAAAAAGGAAACAAAAATTAGAAAATGAAAAATATATGGTGTACTTTTTTAAATTTTTTTTTCTTTTCAAAAAGAAATTAAAAATTTTTGAAAATTTTAGGGGGCACTATTTAAAATTACCATATAAGTACATGTATATAGCAAAAATATATACATATATATAGTAAGTTGGAGCAAGGGTAGGGAACACGTGCCCCCTCTGGTCCTTAATTGGCTCTGCTCCTGGCGAGAGTTTCATAGCGGCAGAATTAAGTCATGAATAGTGAGAATTTTAGATAGAGCGTGCGCGGAGCGTAAAAGTAAAAGTGTACTTAGAACATAAGAGCAATATCTATTAAGAAGAATTGTGTTATTTAACTAAAAAGGTACTGACCTCCAAGAATATTGCATACTTTCTCGATACAAACATCTTGATGTGTGTGAATACCACCATGTGGTATCACTTGGTAAATGCCTCGAGAGGTACTGTGAACACGCGTGTTGTAATAAAAAGAGTAGTTTTAAAACAAACCACATCGTAAATATTCAAAATATTGTATGCATATTTTTATTTTATTTTATAGATAATGTCATTTAATTGATCATTTTATTAATATAAGATGAAGTAAAATAATCAATAGGCATTGTCTAGATAGTATGATCTCCCCTTCTTAAAAGGAAGATTGAGTGTTTATATAGGATAAGGTATTCCGTGTGTAATATTCTGCCAAATAATGTTTATTTGTGTGGTGCCTTATATTACATTCTCCTTCATTTTCATTTTAAAATGAACAATATTTGGGTCCAACTCAAATTGGATGAATCCAATAAAATCACCAAGTGTTAAAATTAAATTGGGCATTGCCTAACTTTTGCTTTTGAACACTTATTTTAGATCTATTGGACCATCCATTCTGAGTTGGACCAAGTATTATTCAACTTTTAAAATTGTGGTACATCTTACCTTTGATTGAAAATTATAAAATTAAGAAGAAAAGGGGAAAAGAAAGAAAAAAAGTTATCTTATACTATACATATCCACTTCTCTAATTATTATTATTGTTAAAAATATACACATAAACAAAAGGAGATTTACACGATTTGACGAATTATCTAAATTTATGAAATTTACGGACGAAGAACGACTATCTCTTTTGTGGTTCTCAAAATCTCCCTTCCTTTTTTTTTTTTTCTTTTGAGGTAAATTGAGGTTCCCAAAAGTTTTCTTAAGCTTATACGATAGGTTTGGTTGGAGTCAAATGGAATAATCAAGGACCATCCTAGTATTATTCCAATTTAGGAAGAGTAATACAAACAACTCATAAAATATATTGTCCCAACCACTTAACAGAATTTGTGGATCATCAAGAAATTATTATTATTATTATTTATTTCACTTTCCAAAAAAAATAATTCCTGATGATCCATCAAGATTAATTTGTCTTTGGTACAATTTTGATTGACCATGAATTGATAAAATTAGATGTTAATTGACATAATTGTAGTGGCATGAAATTAAAAAAGAATGGTGCTAGATATATAAAATTATCAAAGAAAGTACATCCTATTCTCCAATTACATCAGCATATTTGGAAAATGAATGACTAGAGGCGAGAGAACTACATAACAGCTCTCTTCTTTGGTCAAAGAAAAAAACAGAACATCAGCTCTTTAAGAGCATCATAAAATTCAATCCCAAAGGGCAAAAAAAAAAAAAAAAAAAATAGGTAATGAAAAACCGAAGCACCAAAATTGAGCTGAGAGTGAGAGTGGAATGGACGATCATTTTGCTTATTCACTTGTTTATTCCAGTGGCATCCTTTACCGCATCAGCAGCATTTTGTGCCTTGGCCTTCATTTGCTGACCAGTCTGTAAACATTCCACACCATTTCAGAAACACAATCTTATATTTAAAAATGTGAGGGTCGTAACAATGTTTATATATGTATGTGTGTACATATATAGATATGAAATTTTGTACCTCCTGCATTGATTCTTTTGCAGATTGGGCAGCATTCGAAGCTTTGTCTGACATTTGATTCGCTTTCTCCTGAAAAAAAAAGTGATGCTCCTATCCGTGAGAAATCATTCACCATTTGTTAATCCGAATTTGGATTCTAGACTTTTTTATTTTAAAATTTTAAAAACGCAAGGTTAGGCTACAATTTGTGGTGACAAATCACTGTCACCTTGCTAATTCAGGACAATCTTGCATCATTTTTCTTGTTTCATGCATGAATTAAAGCGAGGCATTAACAGAAAGGAATATATGCACACACACACACATATATATATTCATGAAATTAAATATACCGTAGCTGTGCCCTTGGCCTCGCCGGCATGGTAGCTCTGACTCATATTTGATTGGTCGTTCATATTTGGATTGCTTTGGTAAATAGACGCACTTCACAATCGAGTTACACGAACTCAAAATATTTTTGGCGATGCCATTGATCATGATCTTAAAGGGTACTTATAGGTCCTGAAACAAGCCCATTGCTCGACACCTGTAATGCGAATCGGTAAGGGTGTTGACACGTGTCACTATGTGGTTGAAGATGGAATATTTCCGCCATTTGACCAAGGTTTTAATTTGTGCATAAAAATACTACTTCAATTCAAAGTTGATCAGAAAATATTGGGGTTTAAACTGATTCTCTTTACTGGGTTACATTATTTTTAAATAACTATATATTAGTAATATTAGATCAAAAAATAATAATATTTAATTAAAGACATTTTTTCAATTTAAAAACTGAAATACCTAAAATACTTATAAAACAAAAAATAAAAATAAAAGAACACTTATATGTACAGATTTTATTAAGGGCACCTTGGAGTTTTTATTTAAAAAATTGGTAAGAATTGACGGGGGACAATTTGTTACAAAATTATACACACATATTTAAATAGTGAGTGACTTCTTACACATTTTTTTATATATGATTATTTTTTTAACCTTTTATTTTTTACAAAATACTTTTTTTCTTCCTGTTTTTACAAAATACTTAACCTTAGTAATTTAAGGGCTAAAAATTGATAAGCAATTAATAGTTTTGTGTAAATGATACTAAAAGATCAAGGATATACTTAGAATAGCAACTAGTGAAATGACTGAATCGGAAAGAGAATTTCTCACAATTTTTTTTCTTCTTCATTCAAAATGGTGCATTGTTCACAAGAGATTAAAAAAAAAAAAAAAAAAAAAATTAACAACGAACTTTATGAGTAGTCTGAATTACACTTATTAAATGATAAAATTAGTGTATATATATATATATATATATATATATATATATGATAAAATTATTGGAAATAAAATATTCCTGTACACTTAGGTATAACTCAATTTAATGTTTAAGACAGCGAAGAAAATAAAAAAGTCGAATTTTTATCAAACGATTAGAGTTTTTTTTTTTTTTTTTTCAATGTAAAAATGTTATATTAAAAAATTAAAAGTGCGAAACTGAACTCGGAATACAACGAAAAGCAGCCCAACCAGAGAACATTCACTATTATGTCATTTTCCTATTTTTAAACAACCAATCCACTTATATTCTACCCCTGATTTTTAACCCATAAACCTAGTTGGACTAAAGGGTTTAGTAAAAGTTTAACCAGATATTTAGAATTAAAAAAAATCAAGAGTCTAACAACGAACACCCCATAAAACACTGCATCGAGATATCATAGTAAGTATTATTCGTTTCCCCTTTTTCCCTCTGGGAAAGTCGTCATTTCTCGTAAGCCAAATACACACACACACACACACGCATAATAGTTGTTTGGTCCGCGAGACGGATTGAAACCAACATCACTCTCAAATTCAGAGATCTTCAGATCAGCTAGGTTAATTTTCTCGGATTTTATCTTTAGCCATAATCTGTTTCAGATGTCTTAATGATCTCTCTACACACACAATTTGAGTAATCACAGAGCATGTTTATTAAAATAAAATTGAAATTTTCCTTTAAATGCTTGGACTGATCCTTAATTACCCAATACCTCTCTCTGTACTTTTCTGATAATTGATGATATAGATTTCACTATTTTCTTTGTAAATGTTGTCTTTCATGGGAATTTGGATTGTAGCTAAATGTTTTATCCGCCTATTGCCATCTCTTTATTGGGTGTAAATTATTGGTTGGGTGAGTTCCATATTAGCTGTCATATAAAAAATTTACACATTGTCTTATAGAATGCTGGTAGCACATACAGAGGATCTTTCTTCAAGGGTCTTGTAGTTTTCTCCCTCGTTTATAGCTGTAATGTGCCTTGCTTAGATGGTGCTGTCATCAATGTGCTTCTCATAAATTTTGTTCAGATACTTTGTGCTAATCCAATGATTTCGTTAGTTGGTGATTACTCTTAGCTTAAATATTGTTTGAAATTGCATCAATTTATTATAATCAGTGTTTGTCAAAATTCTTTGCACCCTTTTAGGTTTGGTGTGCTTTGTGATTTAGACATTGTCCAACCGGCGAAGCCAACATTTTACGGAATACAATGTTGTGTTGTTGGTCTTTTGGGATGTGGGAGCTTGTCTGAGGTAGTAGAATGGAAAATAAAAGAATAGAAGACCATGAACCCCGACCAGTTCCGCCGGTGAGGGTTGACAGATTTGGATTTGTAAAGCAAGAACTTATTAACTCTCCTGATGGTTTAACCAAGGGCAGGTCAGCTTTTGAGTGTGAGAGGTATGTGATTGTTTTGTCAAGTCATTAGCAATTTTTTCCTTTTATAATAACATTTGATGCTTTGTTTTATGATGTTTTGCGCATATGCTGAACCTGTGAATTTAACTAAGGGTTAACATTTTTGAGAAGATCATATTGTTATAGTGTTTCAAAATGACAGCGTTAGTAATTTTTACCATATGCTAGGGAAACATTTTTTTCTACAAAGCTTCATGCTTATGTCTTTTGCCTTATTGGCTTCTTCCTTTGGAGGTCTTCTTTGAATTTTCATCAACAGGCAGTCAATATTACATAGTTATATTAGGGACAAATTAATAATCTTCAAATGGTACTGATATGAACTTTGACGCCCTTTGGCTTGATTGTTATTTGCTATGTTTACTGATATTGAAAAAATAGGAATCTTTCTTAAAGGACAACCTACTAATTAAATGGTAAATGTCTAGAGTTTCCAAGTAGTAAGTTTTAGCTGAAGCAAAGCATCATCTTTTAGGAAAAATATCGTCATTCTTTTTATATCAACTTCTGGTCTTCCTATGGAATTATCTGTTTAGTATCTTTAAAGACCTGAACTTGGAGCTTCAAGGACTATGTTTGTATGCGTGTGCACACACACAAATACCTGAACTTCTAGGGGTTTTTCTTTCTGCACAAGTGAATCACTACATTTGTTTTGGATGGATGATTAATTTGTGTATAGTCTTGTGTTTTCCTGCTGATTAAATCAACGAGGCACTTTTCAGGGAGGAAAGGAGGATTAGAAAATGGAGGAAAATGATTGGGGTCGGAGGGAGTGATTGGAAGCATTACGTTAGGAGGAAACCTCATGTTGTTAAACGGCGTATTAGAAAAGGAATTCCTGATTGTCTAAGGGGTCTTGTCTGGCAGTTGATCTCAGGAAGTCGGGACCTCTTGCTGATGAACCCTGGGGTTTATGAGGTAATCCTTTTTTTTCTTTATTTTTTCAATTTTTTTTGTTTTTCCATGTCAAATTTTATATATCATATTATTCTTTATTATCTTGACACTCCTACCTTTTATAATACGAGATAAACAGAGATAGATTTATCTTGGAAAGTAACTAAACTAACTTGACATGATCTTTCCTCCCCCTTACCTTGTACTTATGACGTGATTGGTGTGGGTTGAGCGGATATATCTTCAATGCAACATCTATGTCCTTTTATTTTATTTTATATATTTTGACCACATTCAAAACAAGATATATAAATATATAAATATATATATATATATTGAGAAGTACATTCAACAAAAAAATTTCTCTAAATTGTTTTTGTTTTTTATCCAGCAATATATATATATGTGTGTGTGTGTGTGTGTGTTTATTTTTTTAATAAGATACTTAATTTCATTATCATATTGTACTTTGTTTTCCTGAAACTGTGCTTACAAATTAGGGTATTCACTGAATTCATGTCATATTAGGCCTATAATTGTATCAAATTACTTGAGGATGAGTTTGGTCATGTGTGCTAAAAGATCACTGGTGTGCATATGCAGTCAATGCTGTCAGCCTGTCAGGTATTACAAGTTCGTTGAGGTGTGATATGAATTAGTATATTAAGGGTTTGAATTGATTATATGGACTGATTTGCGTGAAGTTGATATTCTTCCTTATTTATCCCAGTTCTTGAGCATTTTATGTGGGCTTTCATCTGATACTTGTTTCCCTCATTAGTCTTTCAATATCTATTTTATATTATCATTGTGCTGATGATATATATATATATATTTTAAATTCTTCCTTTCTTATCCCAGTTATTGATTATGTTATGTGGGCTTTTCCCTCCGATGCTTGATTCTCTCATTACTCTTCACATATCTATTTTATATGATCATTGTATTGATGATGTTCTTTTTCTGCTGTAGCAACTAGTAATCTATGAGACATCAGCTTCAGAACTGGACATTATTCGGGATATATCTCGTACCTTTCCTTCTCATGTTTTCTTCCAGCAGAGACATGGACCTGGTCAAAGGTCCCTCTACAATGTTTTAAAGGCATACTCTGTATATGACAGGGATGTTGGATATGTTCAGGTTTACATCATGCACTTTGTTGCTGTACTATATCCCTTTGTATGATACTGAATGATATTATAATTAATTTACAGGGTATGGGATTTGTAGCTGGTCTTTTGCTTCTCTATATGAGTGAAGAAGATGCATTTTGGTTATTGGTTGCATTACTGAAAGGAGCTGTACATGCCCCAATGGAAGGATTATATTTGGTAACTTTCTTGGCCCTAGAATATGTTGTCTTTAGGGTGAGCTCGCCTTGCTTACCAACTTTAAGCTGCTAAGAGCTAACAACTTGAAAAGTTTCAGTCAGTAACTGTAGGCGATACATTTTGATAGAGCAAATTATGTGGCCCTATATAGAGTAGAATGGCAAAGAGTGGTTTTGCTGCTGTGTTGAAGCAATACTGTCCCTCAACTTCCTGAATGTCATAAATCTAAGCATGATGCTTATTATCAACTGCCAGACAAGACCCCTCAGACAATGAGTGCGGCATGGATCCCATCATGACACTCTTTCCTTCAATTCTATGTTTACCGAGCAATGATAGGCGTTGGAATTGGGACATGTCGAATTGGGGAGTTTGTGAGTGAGGCATGGGCCACATTACATCATGTGAGCAAGTAGAGTTGTGGTCCCCACGTCCCACTCACAAAACCGCCAGTTGTACATGTCCGATTTCAGAATACGAAAGATATACAATTTTACATGTTTATATTTTTAACCTCTTTTAGGTGATAGATAAAGAATACATTAATACACAGTTTTGTCCTTTCTTTATCCCAGTTATTGATTATTTTATATGTGCTGTTCCCTCCAATGCTCGATTCTCTCATTATTCTTCACAGATCTATTTTATATGATCGTTATATCAAAGAGATTTCTTTTCTGCTGTAGCAACTAGTAATCTATGAGACATCAGCTTCAGAACTGGACATTATTATCTCAAAAAAAGAAATAGAATTATTGTACTTAAAAACTGGACATTTTTTTGTCCCTAGTAATCTATGGGACATCAGCTTCAGAACTGGACATTATTCTGGATAAATTTTGACAGAGCAAATTCTGAGGCCCCATATAGAGTAGAAAGGCAAAGAGTGGTTTTGTTGCTGGGTTGAAGCAAAACTGTCCCTCAACTTCCTGAATGTCATAAATCTAAGCATGGTGCTTATGACTTTGGACTTAATATCGGTTTGTACCATAATACCGACTTTTTAAAAGAAAGCATACAATGTGCAAAAAAATGGCTTTGCATGTCATTCCTCTTCTTCATTAGGTTTGTTTTCACAGCCATAGTGGTTGGCTATAAAGAATTACTGGTAGCATATAAATCGAGTTATTGACTATCTTAGTATACTGGGTAAAGCCGTGAAAGATAGGATACTTCATGCTCATGGATCATGAGTTCTTTTTCAGTTATGCTACTGCCAATTTAAAAAATATATGAATAAGAAATGTAGGAAGAATAAATGATCAAATTACTCTTCCATTGGAGCAATACTTTCTTGACCAAATTAGGTTCTCCAGTAAATTGAACTTTCTCTGTCCCTTTATTTTGGAAGTTAAACTGTTAATGGAAGAATTATTGCAATTCTGTTGGCTTTTGTCAATCTGTTACTATTATCATACAGGTATTGTGTCTTATAGGAAAATGCACGTCTTGTGTTCTGTGCATTAACTTTGCGCCGATGACTCAATTATATAGTACATGATATTGTGATAAACATTAAATATGTCTGTGAGCTGCTGCTCTTTTTTTCTTCGGTATGTTTGGAAGGAGAGTAATTGAGTAATTTTTTTCAATATCCAGGTTTCATTTTTTGATTTATGGATGGTTTGAGTTTTACTGAGGTTTAGATATGCTATCTTGTTGTCTTTCTACACCCTAAACCTATTTTGGGGTTGTCTCATTTTTTTTCCATTGAATAATATCTGGTGCACTTTATGGCTTTTAAACTAGATTAGCTGGTTGCTATGTAAAAGCGTTTTATTTACTGTTTGTGACCATTGTAAATGTATTCCAGATCTCTGAAAATTATTATCTTATGCTACTGGGTAGGTCGGGTTGCCTCTTGTACAACAATATCTTTTTCAGTTTGAACTTTTGGTGAGGGAGCAGTTACCGAAGCTGGGAGAGCATTTTACTCAAGAAATGATAAACCCTAGCATGTATGCAAGCCAGTGGTTCATTACTGTTTTCTCATACTCTTTTCCATTCCATTTGGCTCTTCGAATTTGGGATGTCTTTCTCTTTGAGGTTGGTGATCTATAACTACGTATGTTTTTCCCCAGAAGCACTATACATTGTTTATAACTTCTTCTTTTTTATTGGGGCAGGGTGTAAAAATTGTTTTTAAAGTTGGTTTGGCCCTTTTGAAATATTGCCATGATGACTTGGTAAGTATTTTATGACTTCATATCTCAATTAGATCCAGATTACTTGTAATTTTTGCTCATATAGAGAATGATATTATTGGTCAGGTAAAATTACCTTTTGAGAAACTCATACATGCTTTGCGCAACTTCCCCGAGGATGCAATGAACCCGGATACTCTATTACCAATGGCCTACTCAATCAAGGTTCTCTCTCTCTCCTCTTGATGCAGGCCTTTTGTTCTGCAATTCCATTTCCACCAGGCATTTCAGCCTTACGCATTATTTTCTTTTCCCCTTCCTCCTATAGCGTTAAACCTGCATCAGTGACTACCAATAAGTGTTATCGGTGCTTTGTTGTATATCTTGCCATACTTGAAAAAGTTTTTCTATTTTTTACCCTTCATATTTGACCTGAATTTGTATCTATAGCCCGACTTTCTATCTATATCAGTTTTCATTATCAAAGATATAAGAATATGAACTATCCTACACCGGAGTCCAGTGCTAACATGACATGCCAATGTAGGTGTGGGTAGGGGATAGAGATTTATGTATATTAGCATACTTGTCTCTGTCCATTAGTCCATGTGTGCTACTGTGCTGGCTCATGCATTATGATATGCATACAACATGATATGTAAATTCCAATAGGAAAACTTCTAAAATATAGGATATAGATGCAGGACATTTGTGTGTGTTTTGTGCCAAGGTGGGTTCCAGTGTGTTCGTCACTGTTAGCAAATACCAAACAAAAACAAAGTATTTTCAACAAAGGACATAAGAACTTAATTCAACAAAGCATTTTCTCAACTACTTGGGATTGGCTACATGAAACCTAGCTTTCCATTCTGTTCTATTTAAGGACATAGTCTCAGTGAAATCACATGTTATCATATTTTTCCCCTTACTAAATCTTCCCATTTTTGTTTTTGTGTTCCTCTTCCCTAGCACTACCCTCAATGTGATTGTTACTCTTTCTTAAGCACTTAGTGGTTTCTTTGCATAGTCCAACATATCTTAATTAAATCAGTTCTACCTCGACTGCATAGTTAACATCATCTCCAATTTCTCCTCTATTGTGAATAATGTAGCCTAGATGGTGAAAATATTCTACTTTTGGCACATTTTGATCCTCAATATTTACTACATCCTTATTTCCATTTTTAGAGTTACTAAGAAATATTATTGACATGACAAACAATCAATAAAATTTTATGAATATGTCAGATGTCTATACGTTAACATACAATACTAAAATTCATATAAAAAAATTGCGGATTATGTTGCGTGGACATTTATATTGCAGTTATTCTTTGTGAGAAATAATCAAGAGACTTCCGAGGTGGTTATGATTTTCTAGCTAATTATATGTGTGTGTAATATGATGCTATACAAGAATTACTGCGTTTCACTGTTCCAGCATCGCATATATGTTTTCCGGAGAATCTGAGAATATTCATCTGTGTTTGAGATTTAAGTTTTATTTTAAAACTAATGATTTTATTTAACAAGGACCAAACGGTCCACACACATGTTTCTGAATATTCAGGAACACGGAGTATCCATTACCAATACAGGTCTCTACAGTTCTCATATAAAAGTATTGTACTCATAGCGTCTAAGTAAAATTGTCCTAAAATTGAAGAGAAAAAAATTCCTTTGATCTTATATAGCTCTTTTACTGACCAAAAAAAAACCATTCCTAGTTTACTTTCCTATAAGAGAACTTGTGAGTATTTTGTAGTTTGTTCTGATGTGTGTGTGTATATATTTGTTTCAATTTGTGTTTATGCGTGTGTCGGTATATTGTCAGGTATCGAGGCGTTTGGAGGAAATGAGGCAGGAGTATGAAAAGAAAAATGGGAAGCTGGCAGAGTCCAGTGTGAAGCAGAAACAGCAGCCACTTGACATTGCGTCATAATAGGGAGCCAAGTTGTGAATTACATGCATGATTTTTTTCATTCTTTTGTTTTGTGAACAAGAGACTTTTTCTACCCATAAGCCCCTCCAATCTAGACAAAGTTATAGGATTCAAATATCTTTGATTAATCCATCATATAAGCTAGTTAGCACCTTTCTAAAAAACAGAAGCTACAAATGTGCAGGTTGAAATGTGCAGGTTGGTTTACAAATTAGTAGTAAAGTTGCATATTTTTAAGTCATCCAATCCAAGAATCATATATACACACATTGCTCTGCATTCTCATCTCCTAGATAGTTTACTCAGCTAACATGATTATCATGTTCTCACACCTCTCTGAAACTTGGTCAAGTGTAATTAGTTTTAAGAAAAGTTTATGAGATGAGAATGTAACTTTTATTACTGTAGAGAACTTGATTACAACTTTGTTGTTTGGTGAGAGGCAAATGAACTCCCACCTCCTTATTATATAGGTGAAGAACCTTATAATGAATGGTTAGGATTTGTACATATTTTAAAACTTAACAAAGAGAAAAATTTAATTGTGCCTGTTGCAGTGTTGTAGTGATGATATGGTATCACATGCTTATTAAATACTGACACATAATGATAGGATTTATTAAAATAAAATACTTTTACTTACAGAAGTGGAAAAAAAATTTTGATTCAATTTTGCGAGTTGTTTTTTTTTTAATTCCAAAACTCTAATTTCATACAACACATAGCCTTAGAGTATGTATAATTGTATCGAATTGGAGTCTTGAAATTGATGGACTCTGAGAAATTTTTGGTTCAATTTTCTTAATTATTTTTTTAAAATTTCACAATTTCCAATTCCAAAGTTTCAGTTTCATGAAACGTAACACATTCCTCATGTTTATGCAATGTGCGTGACAAACTCAAAAGGTAAATTTATTTTGATGAATATGTTTTCAAACCAATATGGTTTTGTTTTCTAGTTCGCTTTGATAATGCATCCAATGGAGAGCCTTGATAATGCATCCAATGGAGATTCCAAAATCATTATCTTTAAAACTTTATCCATTTAACATTTCAAAATTGTTTTGCCTTACCATGTTTATTTTTCTATGCATGCACAAGAAAAAAGAAAAATAGTCACACAATGCATTTGTAATCACTACCTTTCCTAATTTTTATTTTTTAGGTATGGTTTTTGGTGGGCCATAAGTATCCTTTAGGCTGACATTTTGTGGGTAAAATTTTTCCGTAAGTTACACAATTCTTCTAAAGGTTAAGTGTAAAAAAAACCTAATATATAGGATTTGTGCAAAATTAATCTTTACTTTTTGAAAATGTGCATATTAGTTCATAAAATTTAAAAAAAGTGTAAATAAGTCTATCTGACCACTTTTTTACAAAAAGTAAACATAAAAAACTGATTTTGTCCTTTTGCCTTTCCATTTTACCCCTCACATTATGCCGTCTTCGCTCCCTCTTTATCCCTCCCTTCCATAATGCTATTTCTGTTTTTTGTATATATATATATATATATTGTGAATTAAATGTCATATTGGCAATTATTTTGTTATGACCATCAAAATCTATATGGAATATGCTCTGTTTAAATGGATAGATTCAGAAACAGAGGTGAGAGAATACAATCAAAATCTATATGGAATATGCTCTGTTTCTTTTCTTCCAACAACACACACTCTCTAAAATTAAGCTTCGAGAGTTAGAAACACCTGCAAATAACCTGCAAATAAAGAAAGAGGCCCTTTGAATTCTTAAAAAAAAATACAAAAAATTCCTATTAATAATCTATACAGACATACAGCCCATACATTCATGTAAATACAATACGAATTTTTGGACGTGCCCACATATTATACATATTAAAATGGGCAAAACAAGTAAGGTTAAATTCACAAAATTAACAACAACAATTAATCCTATATGATTGGACTTGGACTTGACCGCATGAATTTAACATAATAGAGTATGTCAAAACCCAATCCTGACTCCTCAATTTTCTACCTCCCAACATTAATCCACCAACTACTTCTTTGAGATGTTCATACTTTTTTCTTCACATCAATCCACCAATTTTCTTATGAGAGCTCCGGGTTCGAGTCCCGGCAGCGGAATCATTTATCTACAATAAAAAAAAAACTTTTTCCTAAAAGTCTTTGGGTAGTGACAAGTTATATTGGTGGCCCACATACTGTGGACATTCGAAAAAGTTGAAAGCCCACACAATTCAAATTCGTACATATTTTTTTTTCTCGGTAAATATAAAACAAATGCTATCAGTGAAATTGGTTCGATACAAGTAAGTTGCCAGTTGATTTTCTATTGTGTGTTACAAGAAAATCTCATATTTAAACTTTTCTAAAGATAGAAGTTTGATGCCTATCTAAGAAGCACTGAAAATACCATTGATACGGTGATACGACGAATTCAGAAAAATTAAGTTACGAACACCACAAATAATAAATAAATTTATATATATATATATATATGATATTGTACTTTAAGAAGATTAGGGTTTTGTTAGAAAATGAAATAGGCCTTAGTTAAAAATAAAGGTAAGAATTTATAGAAGAGAAAAAATTTCATAGAAAATAGAGGAAAAATGAAAAAGAAATCCAAAAAGAAATATATTGTCAAAGTAAAAAAGAAATATCTAGGATTTGTGAAGAACAAGAAAAAGGAAGAAAATAAGAGGATGAAGAAAAAGGAAGGTACGAGAAGAGAGAGATAGAGAGACCATCCAACGGTAGCGAAACTTGGTTGGTAAAAAAATAAGAGAGTCAAAGATGATCTTACAAGAATTAGAACCTTGAACTAAAATATAAGGATAAATATCTAATTATTTTAATATCAAATTATTTTATAAAACAACAATTTTTAAGTACTTAAGTAATTACCATCATATTGCTGGAAGTAATTAAACAATTCCTAATACTTATACTTCAACTCAATATTATTTTTAAAATTTTCTTAAAATCCCTAAGAATGGGACAAGTGTGTTGGACACATATTCATGACATATTGGACGCCTGTTTAAGGAAAGAGCACAAGAAAAATAAAAGAATTTTCAGTTTAATTTAAAAAAAAAAAATTGTGTCCTCTCCAGATTGACCTTCTCTTGATCAAAAGTGGTAATTAAAAAAAAAAAAAAAAAAACTTGATTTGGTAATTCCACCATTCAAGTTTAATCCAAGGGTCTGAATTTAATAGATATAGTGAAACCATGCACAAGAGCCTCTCACCTATTAAACACAGTCAAAATTGACAGTCTAGAAAAGCTAACCCGAAACCACCTATGAATTATATTGTACCATGAATTTTCTCAAATCCCTCAACTCGGGAAATATATGACACGTGTCAAAATTGCCTTGGATGCAGCATTACACGCGGCAAGCAACGTACTTGTTTCAAGAACCATATAAAGTTTTGCAAATTGTGGTATCTGCATAATTAATTTTACATTTGTAATCACTACCTTTCCTAATTTTTATTTTTCCAGTAGGGTTTTTGGTGGGCCATAGCCGGTATCCTTTAGGTTGACATTTTGTGTGTAAAATTTTCTCATAAATTACACAATTCTTTTAAAATAGTATAGTTTCGCGCTTCATACATGAAACACCTTTCTAAAAGTAAATCTTTTTATAAGTCAAGAATTTAATTTTTTCAATTCACAAATTAAATTTATGAATCATCGAATTTACAATAATTTCTTATACAGTGAATTATGGACAACTATAGATGAGAGCCAAATAAGATGAAGGAACTTTAAGTGGTTATTCAACCATTAAAATGAGAACTATATTGGTATGAATCTCGGAATTTAGTTTCTTACTATATAAATTTAATAGTAGCCTCCTCCTAGCTTTGACTCTCGCCGGTCCCCGACCAAACTACCTTAAGGTCCAAAGAAGGAGCGGAAAATAAAAAGGACGAGAGATATTCCTCCCCTAATCAAATAAAAAATGACAGTCTTGCCTTGGTAATCCAAAATGCAATTTTCAGATTTTATAAACCTTTAACCTCAATGTCTAAAATTTGACCTACTTTTTATTACAATTTTAAGTCATGATTGCCAGAGTTTTTACTTTTGCAAAGTGGCTGATATGGATTCAAATAGTCCTCTTAATTTTTATAAGCGGCATCAGGCCCTTAATTTACCAACTAAGAAAAAAATATATATATATATAAACCTTTAACCTCAATTTCTAAAAATTGACTTACTTTTTATTACAATTTTAAGTCATGGTTGCCAAAGTTTTTTATTTTTGCAAATCAGCTGATATGATTCAAGTAGTGCTCTTAATTTCTATAGGCGGTGTGAGGCTCCTTACTTTCCAAAGAGAGGTCAGGAGTTCAAGCCTCCATGAAAGAATGTATGTGTGGGTTCCAAATAAGAAAAAAAAATAGTTTATATTAGCTCTGAGGTAGGATAGAATGAAACAATTTTTAAAAGATTAAAGATTTCATGTTTGCAAATTTTAGTTAGTCCTATATTGTGTATAAGGCTCTAATAATAAATGATCCCGAGCAGGCCAAACTTGAAAAGCTCTAAAATTTGAGTGAATCTCAAAATCCAAAGTATGGAGTGTGATTGAAAATATGTATGTTAAATGCCACAAAGTAAAAGAGGAGTCAACTATCAACCATTATATAAAAAATAGCTTCCACAATTTCAAATATTTAAATAAAAAGAAAATAGTCTTGGTTCGTAATTTTGAAAACAATTCTCAAGAATTTAAAAAAATAATTTCATATCTACAAACCAATGAGACCCAAACTAGTCACAAATTATTCATTGTAATGAGTGTATGGTAGGTAACATCGTAATCGGAACCAGCAAGCCCTCCTTTCCATCATCACCGTATAATCTGAAAATTGAAAATTGTATAAAAGAGTGAGCATGACAGACTAGTACCCAGGAAGACTTGCTACCATTATAAACAAAATATATGAGCAAACAAAATCATGGCACTATACTTTTAAAAATATAATATGATATACTACCGGAATTGAAAGATGATAAAGGCATTGTTATTGACAATATTACTTACCATTTGGATACATGTGCTTCCTTTTCTGTTGGTGAAAAGAGTTTGAACTTTTTGCAAGGGTGAGGGCGAGTGTAATTGGTTGACAAGTTGAAGCGACATAAAGGGCATGTAAGACTATTGGTTTTCAGCCAATCTGCAATGCAGCGGACATGGAATATATGAGAGCATGGCATGCGAGCTATCCTCGATCCAATCAAAATCTCATTTTTACATATGTGACACAGTATCTCCTCCTCCTTGTCATCACCTTCACCTTCAGCGTGACCTTGAAATTTGGTAGTCTCTACTTTCTGAAAGTAGTCCCTCATAGCTTGTTCCAGCAATGACAATTCCAACTCACGTTCATACTTGCTGTCCAAGACAGCTTTATCCGTTGGCGCTGTTCTACCCACTGAATTTCGTATTCGAGATGCAATCATAGAAAACTCCAAACACCGACCAAACTGTATGATGGTAGAAACAGAATCTTGAAGTCGTCGCACACGATCTTGCTTCTCCTTAGCC